ATCTGACTCCAGGTTGCCTAAACTTTACTTCTGTACTACATGGATCATCACCCATGTTTTATCAAGAATATCATTAGAATCACACCCAGATTTGCCTTCTGGAACTAAATCAAAGACAACAGATTCAGATATCCTATCTTGCTCAGTAGTGACTCTAGGGCAAAAGGTCTTTAAATGAAAAGACAAAGAGAATCATCAGCACAATTAGACCTTTTTCTTTAATCCAAGCTATTATAACTTAATTCATTTTAGTTAAAAGCACATTTGATGTAACTCCACTGTACAACAACCAACAGGATAGTCTTTATTCTGAAGAAATACCAGGGGCAGTGTAAGAAACAAACAAGGAGCCTGGCAGCTTCTCTACAGAATTACTACTGATTAAAAAACCTGAAATCCCAATTCACATCAGGAAAATGTTCATTAGGTGATGAGTATACCATGTAATAACCAGAAAATTATTAGGCCCAAAGAGCAATTGCATATGTATGTATACACACATACATCTAAACTATGTGGGTAAGACACAAGAATTAAAAACAAATAACTCAGGTAATAAATCTAAAAGGAAACAATGAGAAAAGTAGTATGTATGTCTCCTCTCTTCTACAAACACTGCTAGAACTTGTCAAATGAGACGCAAAACCTAGGAATCTACCTCACACCTTTTGTAGAGACATATCTGTTCTGGAAAACAATTAACATCTAAAGACAAAAGCGACAGATATTTAAGTATAATACCAGTAAATTTAGTGGAATACAAACTTAGAAAAAAAAAATCAAGGTTTGACAGTCAGTGAAGGTTACTTTACGTACACAAGGAATTCAGGAGACCTAAAAGAGTCCTTTAAAACAAGTCCTGCAATGGTAACATTAACTACATTACAGAAAACTTTCAATGATATACATTTGGCAATAAGAACTCACTATAAATTTCTAGCAAGTATTTATAAAGTATTATTCTGATGATCACATATAGTCACTGTGAAAGGAAATGAACTGGAATCTGTGTATAAGAAAATAAAATGGGTATCCTCATAATTACACATTTATATCCAGTTAAAATATACTTTTGACACTTTAGTTTGATAGTGTTTCTTTTCAATGGTTTCATTCCCTTAAATTTACCAAATTCCAAGAGCATATTTTAAAATCTGAGTTTCAGCTTAAAAGAAATATCAATCAACGGTGGAAAACTTATAGCATGAGCAACGGTCTTTTAAAATACTCTATCAACCAACTGTTACTTTTATATGAATAAAAGCTAGGATAAGAAGAAAATACCTGAAATAATAATAAAGTTCTTTCCCATATTATATTTAAAAAATCTACAACCAACCCCACCTACTAAATCACAGTACAGAGCACTTTACCTAAGAACCCACTTGTAAGAACACAGCTTCTGCAGGATTATGGCTATAGTTGATCCAAAATCAAGTGATTTATAAAAAGAATGCCTAAATAAGGTTTAAGACTGTTATAGCAACTTCTAGGATTGACTGGTAGAATAAAAATGAAAAGCTGGAGTTCTGAAAAAAATACTCAACTTGTGGAATTATGTGTGTGTACACACACACACACCTGCAAACAATGAAGCTTCACTGGTAGATTTACTCAACCTCTGCTTTCTACCAAGCATTGTATTAGGTTCTGAGAAGACAACAGTGAGAGCGAGCCAGTCGTAGCCTTCACATATTCCAGAGAATATGTGAAGCAACTCTAGTACAATGTGGTAAGTGCTATGGAAGGGCATAGTTCAGATTGTTATGTAATCACATAGTGGTATGCCCAGGTAAAGGGTTTCAGAAAAGATTAAAATACCGACATGTTATTTGAAGGATGAGAAGGTAGGCATATTGGGCAGTGTTCACAGAATATCCAAAGGTGAAAAACATGAGGAAGTGTCAGGGTCCTGGGATTAAGCCCCACATCAGGTTCCCTGGGCAGGGAGGAAGCCTGCTTCTCCCTCTCCCACTCCCCCAGCTTGCATTCCCTCTCTCACTGTGTCTCTCTCCCTGTCAAATAAATAAATAAAATCTTTAAAAAAAAAAAAAAAAAAAAAAAAAGAAGGGATAAAGTTGAAGAGGTAAGCAGGATCAAGATTATGGAGGGTCCTAAATGATGACGGGTTTGAACTTTATGTTATGGGGAATAACAGAACACCACTTAATGATTTTAAGCATGGGCTGTCAAATTCTGGCAGTGACAAAAAGGATTTAGAAGGCAATAAGAAGAGCAGTTATTTAGTTGAGAAATAATGGCAGTGGAAATGTAGTAGTCAGACTTAAGAATTTTCTAGATATTTTCCTGGACTGGATGTGGAAAACATGCAAGGAGCAGAAAGTTAAGATGATATCCAAGTCTCTGGCTTGGGAAACTAGTTAGATGAGGAACATTGATAAGAGGTACTCTCAGGAAAAACAGGGGAGTCTGGATGTGAAATATTCGTGAAGTAATGAAGTGAAAATTCTCCTTAAATTTGGGTCTCTTGAGATGTCTAGGCTATAGACAAGAAATTAGGGAGCTATCAGTATATGAGATAAATAAAACTCCCATACAGCAAGCAAGCATCTAGTGAGGGTGTGGAAGGTTAAGAATGCTTATGATAGAACATGAAGATCAAGAAAAGGAAGAGGCAGAGAAAAGAGCCTGGAAAGGACACCGAGAACAATCAGCAAGGGAAGTATCAAGAAATTTTTTAAAAAGCAAAGATAACCAGAATATACTATTTCAGAAGCCACAGGAAAAGTTATGAAAATTAAGAGAAGACAATGTGAAATATCACCAAGGATCAAGTGAGATAAAGACTGAAAGGTGTTCATTGTACTTAGTTATATAGGAATGTCATTGGTCATCCTGATTTTTAAAAAATAACTAGAAGCCTGTTTAAGGGGAGAGAATTACTTTACTTCAAAAAAAAATGAAAACAGAGATTACTCAGTCTGTGACGCTCTAATTAAAATGTTTAAGTACATTTCTCCCTTCCCATTCTAGAGTGCTTAGATTAGTGGTTCCTAACCATTTCATGTGGGATAACTCCTGTGTAACATTAAAAAAACTTGAATACCAGAATAACTATATATTTTATCATCAGATTAAAAAACAACCAGATTTTAAAAAAAAGGATAAAAAAGTTACTATACTCAATGAAGTTTTAAAGAAATGCACATTTCAAAAGAGTCCCAAGTTTGAAAAAAGAAATGCCTAAGACATCTACATCTGTCTGTGTACCAGAATATCATTACTTTGTGTATATGTCACAAAGTTTCATGTATAAAAATTATTTTTATGTTTAGTGATTATAGCATTAAAAGCTTTTCTACATTAAAAAAAAAAAAAAAGGCGGCAATGTTTTACTCTCCCACTACAAAGACTATCTGGCCCTGTCACAACCTAGCAAAAGCCTAACATATAGTGGGCATTAAACTATGGTAGTTCACTCCCACATCAAAACTTCCTTTAAAGCTTATTTGACTACTTAGTAAAATCATGTCTTTAACCTGAATAATATAACATGGAAATGACTTGCAAATGTATTTGGGAGCTATTTGACCAAAGGTTTCTCTGAACTCTGATTTACTCTGAACCATCACTGTACAATCCGAGAGGGAAATAAAATCTTCCACCCCACCCCATCCCAGTATTGTTAAATGCAGCCAGGCTTATTCCCCACAGCTGTCAGATACCAAAAGGATTTAACAGTCGGTAACAAAACCATGCAAAGCAGTTCGCCAAATACTCTGATGCTTGGCCTAACATCAAAGAATCTTTATCACGCATGTCAGGCTTGAACATGTACATTTTCAGGTAAAATTAGAAAATGAACTTAACATGCTTCTACCAAAAAAGTTTAAGAATTCGCTCCCACAGATTAAAAAAAAAAAAAAAAAGGCTACTCAACACCATTTCACTCTGCCAACCAACAGTCACTGTATTTACCTATCCCCTACCCTGAGAGACTTCATAAAACAGGGGTGGCTTATTATTAAAAGGTTATTACGGATCAAGTTCTAGGCCTTGGAAACCACAATTCCTATCAACCACAATGTATTAATCATAAATGGAATCTGGCTTCCTTTACTAGTTAAATACAATCTTCGTATTTGCAAAAGTCCCCCGTACCCAAAACGCCAGTGATAAATGCTGTGTCACTGAGAAAAAAGACAAGTATTTTTTTGAAACCAAAAGGATACTATATCAAAGAAGAACACTAACTTGTGTCCTCGGGCTATCCCAATCCCTACAAAGGCAGCCAGAAATGTGCTTCCCTAAACCCATGTGCTGCCCGGCAGCTTTCGTCTGATGGGAAGCCCCCTGACCCGCACAACTAGTCAAGGAAAGCCTTCACCCGCTGGGTTCCATCTCCACAGCCCAGGGCGGTTTCTCTCACCATTTCCAGGTGAGCACCGGTGCCCTCGGGATGTCCGCTGCCCGGGGCCGGACTGGCCCTGCCCTCTGGGGTCTTCCGTTCGCTATTACGCTTTAAACCGCCGGCATCACCTCGGCCCCCAGCCTCCCGGCGTCGCCTCTGCCGGCTCCACAGGTACATGGCACCTGCGCCCAGCAGCAGGGGCGCCCCGACTGCTAGCGCCAGCTGCCATCGCGGTAGGCCCCCAGTACCAGGGCCCGCAGTCGCGCCGCCGCCGCCCACCCCACTCCCGGAGCTAGGCGCAGCCGCCGCGACCACCGCCGCCTCCACAGGCTTAGAGGCGGCCATGACGAGTGTCCTCCGCCGCCGCCTCCCTGCTGGTCGTGGGCGCCTCAGTCACCAGGTAGTGTGCGAAGGAACACCGGAGGGAGGGAAGGAAAGCCGTGGGCTAGCGAGCACGCTAGGCAGCGAGAGCGGACGACAGAAAAGGGCCGGAGGTCACCGGAAGCCTAGGGCATGCCGGGCCAGACCCGGCAGTCCCTTTCCTCCGGTCTCAACTGTGGGGGGGAGGGGGGGCGGAGTGAAGAGAAGAGGGGGAAATTACTTCCGGGTCAGAGGGAAACAGGGCGGGAGGGGGCGTCGTTAGTGGCCCTTTCTCTTCCCTTTCGGGGCGCTGCTGTTTGTGAGACTAGCTTCTAGGATCTTGGGCTTCCGGTGGTAGCCACTGTCGTTCCCTCCGCCTTCAGAGGGATCTCTTATCTGGGGAAGCGGAGGAGTGACGCACATAGGGTGGATCTACGGTGCGCAGGCGAGCAGTGCGGAATCTGCAGCGATCCCAAGAACCGGCGGGAGTAGCGGAAGAGTTGTGAATGTTATTGGTTGGCAGGAATGGTGGGCGGGGCGTAGCCCGAGTAGCTCAGTTTATTGGTGGAATTTGGGCTTCGTTCCCCCATTACCGCCACGTAGGCGCTTCTTAGACCTTTGGGGCAGGTAGTTTGGTTATGAATTCCTGGAAACCAACGGATTAAAAGGACTGTTAGAGGTGTGTGAAGGAAGAACTCAGCTAGAGCTAGTCCGTTGTATCATCGGTTTCCTTATTTCTACCGTGGCCGGATTGTAGTATGGAGGAATTTGAGATTGCTGGGGGCAACGGCAGATGGTAGAAATCAGACAGGGTGGAAACGGGCAAATCTAAGTTGGCTTCCGCCAAAACGGCTTGAACAGAGTCCCCGCGGTTCACCGTCTGCACCAGTTACGAAAGCGATGACGTCTGTGTGTTGTTAATGAAGTTCTTGAACTGAGTGGGTAGAAATGTGAAGACCCAGAGTTCCCACCTGCTTGCAGCTTTCCTGTACATATTTGTGCCTTGTGCTGGATTTTTCCTGATATCCCAGCCCACGTCTCCATCCCTGGAACACCCTCGCCCTCCGCAGTGCTCTGATCCGCCCACCGCCTTGCGAGTTTTGCATTAGCTGTCTTCAGCCTTCTTGCTTCATTCCCAAAACGAAATTTCAATTAATAGCTATCATATATCGAGTAGCTTTGTCAAGTCCTTTCCCCATGCTCTGCACCAGACGTCTTAAAATACAAGAATTTCCCTTGCAAGGAATTGTTCGGATTTCATAGTATTTTCAGTAGGAAAACACTAGTATTAATAGAGAATGAATCCAGAGCTATGGCTCCGCATATCAAGTATGCTGGTCTGCAGACCCTTATATTAAAAATTTACAAAGGTTCATTTTGCTTTTGGGCGCAACAGGATTTTCAGCATCACAGTAGAACTACATAATGATTGAAAGATAGTTTATTTTAGATAGTTTATTAAAAATAGTTTATTTAAAATAAAAATTTATTTATTTAAAATAGATTAAATTAGAATGGCCCAATTCGAAGGTTTCGGTATCGTTGCTTTTCTTCTGCTTCATGTAGGTTCCTATTAGTAAACTGCTTTCAGGTAATAGGGTTCCTCAGCAACAGACTCAAAAGGTGAGCTAAAAATAATAGCAACAGAACTGAGTTGATCAAATAGGGATTGTTGCAGGCAATCGTCTCTTCTTCCTTCCTGATTCCCAGCCCTCAGAGGAAAGTCTTCTGGCCCTTAATGCTATTTCTCCCTTGCTGTTTTAGAATAGAGTTAGGATATTTCTTTACCGCAGTTTCCATTTTTCTGCAGCCTCAGGGGATTGTAGAATGCTAGTAACTAAGTAGGAACTAAGTCATTTGAAGTTTAAAAAAAAACTTATCAGAATAGATAACGTTGTTATGGTTGCAATCCAAAAGTTATAAAGGGTTTACTGTGAAAAGTCACCGTATCCCTAGCTACCCAGTTCCCCTCTCCAAAGGTGATCAGTGTTAGAATTTCTTGAAACACTTTGTTTAATTAATATTTATCTAAAAGGCTGCTTTTATTGGTTTTGAGATTGGCATCAATAAATGAATTTGTTCTTGTTACTTTTGTGATTTGTTGAACATAACATTTTCATTCCCTAGCCTATTCATCTCTTTTCTCCCATTTTTTCCATCATTTCCTTATTGATTGTAGTGTAGAACTGAGTAAGAATGTCAGTTCTATGACCTTGCTGACCTAAGGCATAAATTTCTGAGCTGGGAAATAGTGAAAACATTCCTCTCACACCTATATGTGAAAGATTTAATTAGATAACATTTAATTTCATTTTAGTATATTGTTACAAAATAGCATACATTCATTGCTTAGTTTTCTGTTTTTCTTAATTTTAAAGGAGAGAAGTAAAATTGTCTTTAAGAAAATTGAAGTTTTGTATATGTGAGCATAAACATTTTGTTTTTCCTGCTAGATTAACGGAATTCAATAGATGTCTTCACCTCTTCTGTGGTCTATCTTGGGAGTCAGTTGAAATGAGGTAGAACATCTAATGGACTGGTATGCAAGAGATCTGAGTTCTTATTCTAGATTTTAATACTAATAAGCCATGTGTGTGACTGTGGGCACCAATGTGACCAGTGGATTAGATGATTTCTAACTCTCTTCCTAGCTATGAAATTGTATGATTCTAGCCCCTCAATTGTCATTGCTACATGAAAGGCTTTCTTATTGGTAGAGTTGGTAGATATCTGCTTGATTGGTGCTCAAGGCTTCCAGTGAGTCCATAGACATACTAAGCACATACATACACAGTTCGATTCTCTTTCAATTTTTCCTTAGGTTTCCATTCTCTGTTTTTATTCACTGCAAAATACTGAAAAGAATTGTTTATGCCTGTTATCTATACTTATCATCCATTTCATCCAAAATCTCTTATAATCTGGTTTCTAATTTTGTTACTAGTCTGAAACTACTTTAAAGGTCACTTAATTCATTGTTTGTTTTTGACTTTTATTTGATTTTACTGAAGCATTTGGTATCATTGGTCTTTCCCCTCTTGAAACATGGTTTTCCCTGGCTTTCAGGAGACTAATTTCTCCTGGTTCTTCTAATCACTGACCAATTTCCAGATAAATGCTGCCCAATAGAACTTTCTGTGATGTTGGAAGTGTTTTTTTAATCTGTGACATCCAATATGATTTTTTATCTGTTGATGTCCAATAGCCATGTGTAGCTATTGAGCACTTGGAGATACAGCTAGTGTGACTAAATATTTTGTTTTCATTTTAATAGACTTAAATAGCTTTGTGTGACTAATGATTACCATATTGGACAGCACGGCTCCAGATTTTCCTCAAGTATAGTAATCTGAAAGAATTTGTGTTCTTTGTCTGCAGTCTCTCCATTAGTAACCAAAGTATGTCTCATTGCTTCAGGTACCATTTCTCTGAAGATCATCAATATCTAAGTATTTCTTAGTTTGACGTATCTGTATACCTCCTAGCCCTATAATTTCCTACTATTTTCTGAGCAGAAAATGCCTGGATGCCTCATTTTAAAGAATATAACTCATCATCTTCCCTCCTCAGTCTTTCCCTTTGTAAATCCCCTTTTTCTCACAATGCCACTGTTACCTTACTAGCTACCCATATTTGAAAGCTTACGCTTTTTGGACCTTTCTCTTTTACAACTCTACTTACCTAGCACAAGTGAATGTACCAATATATACATATGTAAACACAAAATCTTCTGTGAAGTCTTACTGATTCACTTGTAATATATATTTTTTTTCCTTTTCATGCCCCCTGCCACCTCCCAGTTCAAATACATGAAAACACTTAGAAGTGTGTCTGGCATATAATAGATGCTGAATAAATAGTTGTTTCTTCTCTTTTTTTCTTTTCTCCATTTTCTTTATTTTTACTGAATGCTGTATCAGCTTCCCAGCTTCCAGTACCTTTCTTCTAATAGCAGCACTCCACTCCTAGTACTCCTAATGTCATTCTGCACTTAGATACTAGATTACTCTTCCCAATGCAAAATCCCAGTTTCATTCTTGAGCTCAAAAACTTTTAGACCCTCTCCACTTCCTATGAGGTTCCTATGAGGTTAAATGTCTGGCCATCCCCTCCTCCTATACACTTCTTCTATTTCCTTGGTCCACATTCATAGCACTTAGCAGTGTTTAAAATTATTTAGGGGACCCGTCACAGGATATAAACTCTATGCAGACAGAAAATTTGTTTGTCTTATACTCCCAGAGCCCAGAAGATAGTCCTTGTAATGGTTAATTTCATGTGTTGACTAGGCCACATGTGCCCAGATATTTGGTCAAAAATTGTTCTGGGTATGTCTGTGAGGCTGTTTTTTCGATGAGATTAACATTTGAATCAACAGACTGAGTAAAGCCCAAATAAGTTGAAGGCTTGAAAAGAATAAAAAGGCCCACTTGCCCTCAGTAGGAGCGATGTTCCACAGCTTGACTACCTTGAGCTGGATCATTGTTTTTTCATGCCTTTGGAATTGTACTACAGCATTGGCTTTCGGGTCTTGCTTGAGCGTGCCAGCTTTCAGACTGGAATTTGCACCATCAGCTCTCTCAGTTCTCTCTCAACTGCAGACCTTGGGACTTCTCAACCTCCAAAATTGCATTAGTCCATTCCTTTATAGTAAATCTTATAAACATGTATGTCTAGTAGTTTCTGGTTTTGCTTCTCTGGAGCATGCTAAGTAATACAGATTTTAGTACTAGGATTGGAGTGCTGCTATTAGAAGATACCTAAAAATGTGGAAGTGGCTTTGGGCTTGTATAGGTAGAGGCTGAAAGGTTTTGAGTTGTGTGCTAGTGAAAGCTGAGATTTCCATGAAGGAACTGTTGGTAGACATAAGGACATTAAGGGCAATTCTGTTGAGCGCTCAGAAAGAAAAAATGAGAGATGGAGACAAAGCTTTCATTTTCTTACATAAATATATAATCATGAACAGAATGTTGGTAAAAATATGGATATTAAAGGCTATTTCAGTGAAGTCTCAGAAGAAATGAGGAAAGGGCTATTGGAAACTGGAGGAAAGTGATTTTTCTTATAAAGTGCCAAAGAACTTGGCTGCATTTTGTCCTAGTATCTTGTAGAAGGTAGAAATTATGAGTGATGAAATTGGATATTTAAGAGATTTCTAAGCAAAGTATTGAAAGTTCTTCCCATTGCTTATAGTAGAATGGAAGAGGAGGCAGATGAGTTGAAGATGGAACCGTTAGGTGAAAAGGAATGAAAACTTGGAGATTGGAAAATTCTTAGTCTGTCCATATTGCAAAAAACAAGAAAGCTTGTTCTCTAGAGAACACTAATGGTATAGCTGAACAATGATTTGATAGATCTTGATGGAACTCATGGGCTTCATCAGCCATCTCAGCAGAGGCCAGAAATAGAGATAGGATGATACCAGAAGAAGAAACACTGCCAGCTGGGACTAAAGAGAACAACAACAAAAATCTAAGGGCACTGACTGTATTAAATTTTGAACTTGTTTGGGACCCCTTACCCCTTCTTTCATATTTTTCCCTTTTGGAATGGAAATGTCTATAATTAAGTCTGTCACATCGTTGTATTTTAGAAGCAAATAACATGTTTGATTTCATAGGTTCACAGCTGGACAGGAATTTTGCTTCAGGATAAATCATATCTCAAGTCTCACCCATACTTGATTTGTATGATATTGAAATGAGACTTTGGACTTTAGATTTTAGAGTAGGTGCTGGAATGAGTTAAGACTTTGGGGGCTGCTGGGATGAAATGAACTTGTTTTACATGTAAGGGCATGAATTTGGGGGGAGACTGGGGTGTCACTCACTGTACCAAAATCTGTATTAGTCTCTTAGGGCTGCTATAGCCAAATACCACAGACTGTGTGGCTTGAACAATGAAAATTTATTTCTCACAGTTCTGGAAGCTGGGAAGTCCAAGATCAAAGTTCTAGTCAATGTGGTTTCTAGTGAGAGCTCTATTCCTGGCTTGCAGATGGCTGCCTTCTCCTTGTGTCCTCACATGATTTCTCTGTCTTTGTGTCTCTGTCTCTATCTCTCTTTTTGTGGTAACTAGGGGAGAGAGAGAGAGAGAGCTTATGCACACAAGCTCTTTAGTGCTTCTTCTTAGAAAGGCACTAATCTCGTGGGACCAGGGTCCCACCCTCATGATCTAATTTAACCCTAATTACCTCCCAAAGGCTCTATCTCCAGACACCATCACATTAGGAGCTAGGAATTCAACCTAAGAATTTGGTGTTTGTGGGGGAGACACAAACATTCAGTCCAAAGCATATAGTAAGCACACAATAGATATTGTTTTTAAGTAATTGATATTGAAGGGTATCAAAGATGGAAAAAATGACATGTAGGATGAGAGATAGATAGAATCCTCATTTACTTAAAGCAAAACTGAGTGTCCACTATATTATGAGGTTTCCTTTAAACTCCCCAAATACTTTTCTGGAACTTTCTTAAAACATAGCCCTTTTTACCTTGGTTTACAGAATTATACTTGTCCTGCCTCATCTGTTAGACCATAAGCATCCCAAATCAGAAGCTATGTCCCATACTTATCCTTTTACCTTTTATGGTGCCTAACATAGTGTCTCTAGTAAAGCT